GCAAAACTTTTCATACAAAAAGGAGGCCAGACGCCAACGAATTCAAGAGAATCCAACATACTCCGTAGGATGGCGAATCAGCCTCGTATCAGCTGGTGAAAATGTACAGACGTCGTGCCGGCGGCACGGTGCCGCACACACCACAATGCACGTTTGGTTTTGAATTACACATGATAAATACAACACACAGTAGATTGACTGATTCGAGTACGACTACTACGTCGTACGGATACCCCAGTCTTGATTACGATAGTTTTGGCTACGGTGGTGTCTATGAGTATGGCTACTACCCGAACTTCTACCCGTCGTATGGCTACTCAGGTTAAGGCAGCTACAACAACTAACATGACCACCCAGGATACGGCTACATCCTAGGGTCAGTCAAAGCGTGTGCTGGCTGACAGGACGGAGTCTGCAACGCAGCCTACAGATGCTGCTGCTGGTAAAGGTGCCGAGCAGGATACCACGGATACGTCGTCGGCAAAGTTGACGATGGCCAAGTCGAACGCCGCCAAGCTGAAGGGCAAACAACGAAGGAGAGTGTGTGATGGAAGAAACCGGGCAGACTAGCGCAATTGACGCGGCGATGCAGTCTGTAGAATGTGTACCGTATATAAGCACTGATATTTTGTATCAATGTATCCATAACCCTTGTCATAACTGTAGTAATCGTTGGCGTAGTAGTCGATACCAAAGTAGTCATTGTATTGTCCTTCATTTAGCTCACATATCACTTGTAGTCGTAGTCGTCATAGTCTTTGTGGTCGTAGTCATCGTGGTTAAAGTTGTGGCAATCCTTGTCATCCATGCGCTCGAGCTGACGGTAGTGGGTGCTGTCATGATGCCGGTGCGTTTTGCAATGATGGTCATGGTGGTGTCGGCGATGGTGGTAGCCATCGCGGCCATGTCCGGAGCCACCGAGTTGGCGATGTATTACAGAATTGAATTGAATTGAATTGCGGTTTTGCCGGCCGTCTACGCTCAGTGCAGTAGCACTGCATACGAGATCACCTTATTGGGGTGTATCCCGCGGTGACGGCCCAGAAGTGCCACGGGTGTCAATCGTCTGCAAAACGGAGGCAGCGATTCACATACCTATCACGAAGAGAAGCTCGGAGTGCATCTTGAAGTCGGAAACTGGGTGGTTGTTGGGGAATATTTTATTTTTGGGTGTATACGAACCTGATCAGCTCTAGGACGAGGACTTGTGATCTGAATTGTGAACTGATGATATAACAGAAAACTAATCAAATTGAGGAAGTGGGTGCATCCATTATTAGGGTCATGCTAGTAGCTACCTGGCAAGCTAAAGTAAGACGCTAGTGACATCACTAGTTCTGGAGGCGAATGATGCAGCAGCAGCTTGATCTTCTACGTCATTGTCGATGTCTTCGGGGATGGCGATTGGTTTTGGCAAGACGATTCGTTCACATTGAACTCTGCGTGCTCGTCCTCGAGGTACGTCGTCAACGCGGCGTACATATTCAATGCAGAGTGTCGTGATTACCGTTACAAAAGTTGCCATAGAAGGACAAGAAGTTGGAACTGTCCCAAGTCCTGGCAGCACTCAGAATATAGAATGCTGACGCAAATACTCCTGATGCAAGATCGTGCACCATGAACACAACGCATGGTGCATACCCAGTCGAGACACATCTATATGTCCCGTCGACAAAAATAGTGATTCTGTGGTAGCGAAGTAGTGTGACTAGTGCGGGATGCGCCAACCCTAAAATGCGAGTGGGTTTAGTGAGGTCGTCATTGTTCACCGTGATCAAGTGAAACTGAAAGAATGAAACAACATCATCTAGAGCTAGCTAGAGGGAGGTATCGCCACTGATCCATTCACGTTGCCAGAGTAGTGTTGGTTCCTGGCGTGGTGTACGCGTCACACCACTTGAGCCTCTGTTAGACCTTGCACAACATCCGGGTTGTCTTCTGCGTCGTAGCGACGGCGTAGTTCTTCCCAAATTTGGCGGACAGGACATGCAACATGTTCAATAGCTAGCAGATCAGCCTGCGCCTTTATTTCAGCTTCGTCATTGGTGACAGAGTTGCCAATAGTATTGTCATGACATGTATGAGTATGCACACTAGTATAGCTGCCTGACGTAATTCGAAACTCCATCTTTCCACGACATCCTGTTCTGTACTTAGAGCAGCGCTATACAATCGTGCGTCTCGAGCCTACGCACGAGTGTACTTATAGCCTTCGTAGTAGAATTAGCGCCGTGGTGAGATCGTGGCACTTGGCTCGGTGGGCCGCTCACATTGGTCATCACTCACACTGTCCACTGACGACTCTTCGGTCTCAACACTACCATCGGTCTCCATGCTGCCGCGTTTGTTTGCTGCTGCAGTGCTTCCGTCTTCACCGTCCACTTGACCACTTGAATGAAACTTCCAGGCTGACAATATGCACTAGAGACCATCTAATTCACTAAACATCGTTGTTGTTCAGTGAACTAGTTGACCATGTTGATGTTCAATGAATCAAGAAACGTCCGATTCTAAGTCAGATCATCGCTCCTCCAACAACCTGATCCTAATCCAGATCAGATCCGAATACGGCCAATTTTGGAGGTAACCGTTGTTGTGGTTGTTGCGGGGTGCAAAGGAGAATATGAAATTCCAAGTGAGAAAGCGAGAAGGGACCGAGGTGATGTTGCTAGCAGTCACACCATTATTTTATGTTACATGTAGTCGTTATTGAAACATTCAACTTCAAAGTGATGGATTTCTGAAAGATAGAACTGAAGCGTACTTATAGTATTATCCAACTTTCAATAACGTATGTCCTAATTTTAAAAAAATTAGAAACCTTCGGAGCAGGAACGAACCATTTGATTGGACATAAGTTTGGGACCGCGTGGAATGGTGTCGAAAGAGACAGTAGAAGGTTTTGCAGTTATACATATTTTGTTATGGGCAATGTTGTCACTTGGCGTTACCCTCGTCTCTAGTACTAACGACTACAAAGGCCTGGCTCTCCAGTTACATAATACATCACTTGGTGGGTGATGCACCTCCAGTTGGTGTGCCTCCATGACGTATGCTTTCGTTAGCATTCATGTCTGGCATGTTTGCCCTATTTTCTAGATATGCATCTCACCAATGGTCCGTGTCAGCACCCACTAGCTGGATCACACTTGCCCAAGGATGAATCAATTCTGGTTGATCCAACGAAAACAGTTATCGACTCACGCAGTTATCCATTGCTACGTTCGCCAACTATCGGCTGCCCTGTAAAAAGACTCGCAGTTGGTAGGTACAGGTACGTACTTGAAGTCTGTCTGCCCTTCCGCGACATTAATCATATGGCTTGCGCAAATGCATCGCTATTGGAGGTTGCATTATTGTTAGTTGAGACACGATTGTGTTGCTGTCCCAATACCATAGTGTAGACTAGAGATCCTCCATTAGATCTTTGATCAGCGGCATCGGGTAAACCATCAGCTGTGTAAGACTGTTAACCAACCGATAATCATTGCACAATCGTATATCCACACCATTCTTCTTGATGATCACGACGATCGGCGATACCCATGGAGATCTTGAGTGAGTGATCATCTTAGCTGACAGGAGGCTCTTGATCAACTCTGCCAATATCTCTCGGAACTGGATCCGCAGCTTTCGGCATTTGAGTGCGATCGGCCGAGCTCCTCCCACATCGATATCACACACAACCCCTCGGGCCGCTGGTGGGAGCGCGTTTCCTTTGCCGATAAGGAGATGCCTGAACTTCCAGATCCGCTGGCGGAGTCGGTCGATCACTTCAGGTGTCTGATTGTCGGATCCGCACAATTGGATGTCCTCGATCTTCACATTTTCCGTCGTTGCTGGGACTTCAGGCAGTACCGCTAGTTGTCCGTCGACGTCTTCAGCGTAGAGATCGCTGCCTTCGTGGTAATACACACATTCGTCGTAATCCTGATCCGAGTCCCAAGTGAGGTCCAGATCCGATGTGTTCGGTTGACCTTCCAAAACAGCTGCCGAATCCTCGCCCCTTTTCTGTGACATAAACGTGGCGTTCTTCTGATCCAACGGGTCACCCAACTTATGTCTCGTCCCAGGTTCTACACCCATCAATGATGAAGTGTTGCGACCCATCACCCTTCAACGTCGCCATCTTCGGATCTTGGACTTCCTGAACTGGTGGATCTTGATCCGCGCCAGTTACATCACTTACAGCTTCGTCTGCCAATACTGTTTCCACAGCTGGATCCTCGACCGGGGGCACATCCCCTGCTGTAATACCTGATACGCCTGGATCCTGATCGTCCAGCGCCTCCACGACCGTTACAACATGTGACATATCATCTGCGATAGACGACAGATCCGACCCATCACTTGCGACAGACACCACGTCCATCGGTCGACAATCCAGCGGTGGATTGTCCGACGGCGGATTATCCATAGGCTGGTGGTCAGAGTCCTCTTGATCTCCACTTGATCCGCCCTTCAAACACTTGACCGCCGTCGGCCTTGGTCGTAGTAGTATTCCGCGCGGAGTCTCATACTCGGGGCGCTCCACTGCAGACCTTGGCGGATCTTCCGCCTCCGGATCCGAGTCCACAGATCGGCGATCCACGGTCGCTTCGAGGACCAAATTTTGCCACTCCATATAGCGCCGGGATCCCACTGAGATGAAACCTGTCAGTCCCGGACATGATCGCCGGTCAGCCAGATCCCGATCCGCAAGTCCTGGTGGAGGATCAGCACCTTGTCGCCGACGTTCGTGATCATCATGTATCGGATCCTCCCCAGACCATGGACTATCGTGGTGACCCATTGATCTCCATGGGTGACCCAGAATTTCTCGTAATCCGAAGTCCTTAGGCGTAAGGGAAGCTGCGCTGATTCTCCTGGCTGGATCCTCAGGCACTGCCCAAGATGCACGATCCTAGCCTTGTCGCTGTAAAGCGGTCGCCTCCCGTTAAGCTGGATCCGGACCTTGTTGGGCAAGCTGATGGATCCGTGAGCGAGATCCAGGCGGATCCCGGCCGGGACCATGAAGTCCATGCCTAGGATAGCTTCCTGCCCAGAGAGATCACCCACCCAGATATCGAAGAAATACACCAACAATCCTGCGAGAGTTACCTTGATCCGCGTTCTTCCTTCTGATACACATTATCGCCGATCCCCACACAATCTTGGATCTGACTCGAGTCAATGTAGCACCCAACCTTACGAGCAAAGGCGATATCCACGATGGATACCACGGCTCCAGTGTCTAGGAGTAAGATCGCCTTCTCATTGTGGATCTTTCCGACGATCTTGGCCTGACGGAATCTGTAGTGGGCCTAGTGCTCACTACCTAGCTTACACGTATGCGCA